AGTTTGTGGGTGTCGTTATGCGCTTGTCGCCGTAGAAGACGTGTAGCAGAAGCAAGAACACTACGTTTGGCGTCATGAGTGTAGTTTGTTTGGTAATAAACGCCCTAAGTTTTGCACTATTAGTGGTGCAGTGGACTAATCTTCTGGACAAATGCTGGACCTAATGACAAGAGGACAAATAAAACAATGAAGGACATACCAGCGGAGAGCAATTTACCACTGGAATCCCCATTGTGGTCTGAATTACTTGGCTCAACCCGCTTTAGAATTTTAGGAGAACAAATTGCAAATAAGTTGATTGAGGAAGATCCCAAGAATTTTAGGCATTATTTGTTGCTTGTCAACATATATGCTGCAGCTGGTCGTTGGGATGAAGTAGCTCAAACAAAGAGGAGGATGAATAGAAAGAACACCGGGTTGCAATTTAAAAGACTTGAAGGAAATTGTTGACTACATGACAGAGACATAAACTGCAAGTATCTTTTTGTTAATCTAACTTGCGACATCTTTTGTATACTAACTGCCTGATAGCTTTTCAGCATGATGCGCCTGAGTAGGACAATGCTGTATAATCAGCTTCCCCACTGTTATCACTTTTGCCCTCTTATTATCGCTCTTTATTACTATTGTTAACGCAGCAATGAAGCTATTTTAAGAATCACATGATGCTGTCTTCTGCTGGTCATCTAATCTTATCAGAATCAGAATCACAGATGTTGCCTCCGGTAGCTGGTTATTTTACCTATGGAATAGTCTTTGCTTTAAAGGAAAATCCTAGTTAGATGCCTGACCTCACCCTATATGATCACTCACATGATACATGTTCATAAAGTTTGTGTCCTACTTTCTGAGAATATCAGCTGGGAACCTAAAAGTGATACTGCAGAAATAATTGTGTACTATACGGGAGATTGCGTGTCGGCATCATTAACAAAATATATTTCTTTCATTGTGGTACATTTTCCTAAGCCGCCGGTGTTTCTATCAACAGGCACATATGTAAGTAGCTTCATATATGATGTAAAATTTCATGTTATAGTTGTGAGTGGTAAAAGATTGAAAATTTGAGTTATTTTACTCAATTGATTTGAGCACTCTTCTTCTCTATGTTCAATATAAAAGGAAGAAACTGGTTGAATTATTTACTCTTGTCATATTTATATTTGTGAGTGATTACTTGTCCATCTGAACTACTAGTCTCAGTTGCTGTACTCAAGTAAGAGCAAATAATATACTGTGTTTTGCTGATGGTATGCTTTACTGGTAAACTCCAACTACCTGTTTGCATCTATTGATGATGTTTTTCTGTTATAACAATTTAAAACCGCTAGACATGTAGAGCTCATGCTACTTCACTGAAAAACCCCATCTTCCTATTATAACAATATTAACTATAAAACTGCGTATAAAAAACAATATTAGCTTGACTAACAAGGTAGAAAGTTGACTTTGAGAAAGAAATTGGTCGAGAAAAAGAACCGCGCTAGTCGGAATTTGGGGAAAGATAGAGAGCTCTCTAGGCTCTGAACTTCCACTTTCAATAGTCAGAAGAAGCGCGGATGGCACCAGTCCTGATTGATTGTTTTGAAGTGATCTCAAATCTTGACTTTTGTTTGTACAGAACGTGCAATTAATATTGAACTTCCCTGTTACTTACTGTATTGTACTTGGTTATTTTTTTTTATAGATTTATGATTCACAAATGATGCAGTTGTGTTTTGTTACGACATGCAGGTATGGAGGCTGGAAATGACCTCTGCACCCTCTCAATGCATGGAATCCTAATAAAGCTTGAAGCTTTTATAGTGGCAGTCACCTTGCTCTCTTTTTGACATTGAGAGGTTATAAATCTTTCAAGATCCTGAGCTCTAGCGTCAGCGTGGGCAAGAAAACACCATAGCAGGAATCCGGCATTTCGGCTGCTACCACGTCCTTGTTGCTGCTGCTGATGAAACTTGCAGCTCCTCTTTAAGCTGCATAACATATTATTGCACAGAATGTCCTTGCTTACTAGTAATATTTTCCAGCATTCCTGATAACGATACATTTAAGAGGCATTTACTGATAAAGATATCCCAATAAAGTTATGAGGTACAGGGCATATGATTAAAAAACAATGAGAGTAGAGATATAGTAACTTAATCCACAAAATACATTCGAATTATCTTTTTTGCAAATTTCAATTACTATGCAAGGGAACATTGGAGGAACAAATTTGAGACTTGATGATATTATTAGCATTGCACTCTTCTCAATTTCCCACATTCAAACAAGCTGAGAAACCTCCCCTACAGTCTGTTCCTCCCATTGAAGAAGTAAAATGGTCAGGAGACTCCTGTTTTTCTCACAAAAAAAAAAAAAACAACTACTTTAGTAAATACATCTTGAAACCTTAAAAACTGGTGAACAATAGATAAACTAATAAGAATACGAGGTTGTAACATGATAACTGGGGAAAAAAGAAAAAGTGCATCGATCATACATAAGAAATTAATAAGTAAGCGATTTTGGAGAGATCAAGCTTTCTGTAAAAGCGTATCCATTCTGAATGCCATCCAATCGAGGCCATGATACAAATGGTCCACTGGGTGTCCTAAACCCATTCCCAGATTGTTGATGAAGAAGGCACCGGAATAGCACTTCACCATCCGCAAACCGATATTTCGGTACGACATTACAAATCCAAGGATCTTCTATAGTTAACAATCTGGTCCAAGATTCCTCGACACCATATTCTTTCAATACCCATAACTTAAAAGTTTCGTTCCTCTGACGAGTAGAATTAGAATAAATACAAAGCATTCCTTCTAACACTGAAACACCAATAGACGTGTTACCCTTCAAGCTTAACATTTCCTTTGGCAAGGGTATCTCTCCGTACACTTCATTTGAAATACTAAACGAAACCACCACGAAACACTTCAACTTCTTCAAAATAGCGATCCAATGAAATGCCTCATGTACAAATGGCAAAGATCGCATACCTAACAACACAGTGCAAATGCCACGAGGATGTTCATCGATGCTTCTCCAGGAGCCACCTTTCAGCGCGAGAATTTCACTAGGTAATTTGCAACTACCTAAGCCATCCCGAATATGAAGGATCTTATACTCACCACTGGTTGAGTCATAACCCAATCCAAAAGTAGAATCTCCCTCTGGTGGAAATTCTAGAGGGGGAAGTAGTAATGATTCTCTTGTGGAGGGGTTCCACAGCAAAAGTATGGAGCTCTTCTTATCCAAATTATCAGGAACCTCGAAAACAGCCAAGCCATCGTAACAACAATGGATTGCGCATCGGCAAGGTTTAGGGTTTGAAGGGCAATCAAATTTTTGTACATCTTCAACCGGTTGAACTGATGATAAAGGAACACAATACATGGACCATATGTAATCCTTAGGGCACCTATGGGCAATAAGAAATTTTTGGGAATCTTGGTCATTCTTGGCATGATTGAGATGCTTCATCTTAAAATAAGGCTCCGAGATCAATGTATTCCAAAATTTTGAAACGCATTTGAATTGAAGAAGAGACCGCACAGGTAGCCTACTGAGGATGTCCATAAGTAGTTCCTCTTGGAAGTGAGCTGCCGTGGCCTAGGTAGGACAAAAAAGAGCAGTCAAACAATTTTTTCCTGGAATTTTTTTTAATTTGTTCAATCTACTATTTACTAACTAATAATAAAATTGAAAATTGAAATTACTCCACAATTGGCAGTGGCACTGGCACCAAGTAAGCTGAGCGATGTACTTGAAGAATAACAATTGAACTAAATTTTAAGTAACAGCCTGGATTCACCTGATCAACAATTTCAGTAATGAAAGAAAATTAAGCCATTGTTGTTATTTTTTCCAATGAGGATGAGAAAGAATATATAGAATTGGCGTTGTTGAAAAATGTTGTCTTTAATGTTGTTAATCATAACTTGAACAATTTAAAAACTCAATACCACCCAGAAATCAGAACTCACCAGATCAACGTCCATCTGGTCTGTGTTATCATTTGACGGCTCCACAATGTTCTTCCCTGATTTAATTTAACAATAAAGCAGAATTAGATGAGCAGAGTAAGGAGGTAGCTGGTGAAATAGTCGCAGAAGCAGAAAGAGATACCTTTGGAGATGTGATTGAACTTTTGGGTGGCATCTTCTCCATTGCTAATAATAACTTGATTGAAAATATTAGCTTTTTTTGTATTTGCAACGGATTTCTTCTTCTTCGCCTTTTGTATCATTGGAGCAGAACTACTACTATTTGCTAATTTTACCTCATTCCTCTTCTTCTGCGTCATCTTTCTTTGAACGTTAGGGCTTCTCCTTTGATTGAAAAGACTCAGTCTTTATCGATGAAAATACCGGCTCTATTTTGGATCCGGAAATGAAATGCTAGCTAGGGTTTCTCTCTCTCTACATTGAGTTTGAGGAGCTTGGGGTCGTCCCGGGGTATTTAGGGAAACTGCAAATATTTTGGCAAAAGTCACGTGTTAACCCTACTTTAGCTTTGACACGTTTGCTTTACACCGCTCAAACGAACATCTCTGTTTCCACCCGATTTGCAGTCTCTATGCTCTGTTTCTTCCTCAAAATTTCCAATGCTGCTCACCTCCTCTTCCAATTTCCCTCATCTCTTTTAGTCTTCTCTCTTCCTGGACAGTTTATTCTCCTTGATTGTACAGTTATAAGGTGAGTTTTAGTTTATTTTCTTCTTGATTTTCGGAATAGCTGCTGCGTATAAATTGTTTAAACTGATTAAATTATTCGTCCATCATTCTTTGTAATTCGTCCAGAAAAAACTGGGATATTTGGAGTTGTTTCCCATTTCAGTTGGGGGTGAATTCAATCCCCGCACTCTCTAAAGGTACTCTTTTTTTCCCCTCAAAATTTGATTTATGAAAAATCCTAATAGTTACTTCATATTGTTATCCTTGAAATAAGAAATAAGAGAAATATTCAAATGTGTTGTTGCTGTTTGCAGGGTTCACCACTTTCTTATAGTTTCAATTTTTTTGTTGGATTCAAGCATGGATGAAATAAATTATGACATTTAGTTAAATGTTTAATAGACATTGTTGATCTTGCAAAATGCGAGATACGGAAACTATGAAGAGGTAAATCTTAATCAGTCTACATATAGATTCACCTATTACGTGCTCTGCCTCTACAATTACTAAGTAAGCTTTGTCCATCTTTTTTTGCTTCTCTTTATCCCAGCTTATCTGCTCATGCTTGTGTTTGGTATTCTCGATTTTGTTTTTCACAGTATCGCAAATGCTGCTGGATTCAAATGTAGTTGCATGCGGCTTTTGGATGCAAATTGAGCTACTACTGGATTTCGAATTGGATATGAAGTATTGAACCCGAACAAATCTGTACCTAATCCTATGTAACTCAGAATGGTTTCAATCTCCCCGACTCTTCTTTTGTATGCCCTTACTGCTTTAATTTTTTCACATTCTTTATTTCCAATGCATGAGATCTCTGTAACTGTTTGTAATACTTGATAACAACACTGATTCTACAGCTGCCAATAGAGATTCATCTCTTCAGAAGAGTAATACCAAGTCTCACCATGCAGGTTGGTGGTTTGAGAAAGATAGCGTATTTATTTTGGATGAGGAGGGGCGAGCTGAAAAGCAGCAGTGCGATGTTGCTGCTTCAAAAATTCTCCACAACTTTTCTTTTATGCCAGATAATGAGGTCATCATGCGCCAGCATAAACATTGCTTAGGAACTCTATTCCAATGTCAGCCAAATTATGTTACAGGTATGAAAGAAGCTCTGTTTGATATTTATGATCTTTGTTTGTGCCTTACAACCTTCACTTCTGTGAAGTGGGACATTTCTATTATGAAAAGTTATAATATTTGACATATGTGATATCTGGTCCTTTTCCCCTTGAGTTGTCCTCATGGTTATATTTTGGCTAGATTTTGATACTATCTTTCTTCAAGTAATATTTTGGATACAATTAAAGGAGATAAAGTTCATAAAATAATCTACGATCATTCAGATAAGTTCATATTCCTAGCTCACTTTAAGCGTGTTTCTCGTTATCGCAGTTCCAAAGGAAACCTGACCTATGTAGGGTTCACTTGACTTGAAAGACGACTGAATCATGTCCTGATATGTTTAGTTGAATATAAATTCATCATTGATAAATCCCTGTATTTATTTTTTAATTTAAGGGCATAATTAAGTTATTTGGATCCTGCTTATTTGTTCTCCCTGCAGTGCTTGCATCCTAGCATCATGAAGGATATTGAAAAGCATGGCTACACTGCACCGACTTCTATTCAGGCTCAATCCATGCCAGTTGCTCTTAGTGGAAGAGATCTCTTGGGTTGTGTTGAAACTGGTAATGGGAAGACCGATGCATTCAACATACCTATGATACGAGTTGTGTATTTCATTTCCATGTCATATTCTGAATCTGTCAGTGTTGTACTTGATCTTGCTTATATGAGATGCTTCAATTGTTGTGATGTTTAATAATTACAATACATGTTATTCTCTTTCCATGCAGCATTGTTTGGCTCAACAACCTCTTCAACGTGGTGATGGACTTTTGGCATTAGTGTTGGCGCCTACGAGAGAGCTTCCACAACAAATAGAGAAAGAGGTGGACTGCGGCACTTTAAAATTTGTTGCATCTTCTTAATTAATATTTTTTTACTCCTGATTTTAGTCATCACTGAATCCTCTGTTTTATGCAAGGTACAATTCATGACTTACAATCTTTTGCTTGTGAATGCCATCTTTGCTTTTGACGGAGTTTAGCTGGAGCTCATTGAATATGGCTGAGATTGCATTCTAGCTAAAACTATACGTCCGGTGAGTTTACTTTTGCGCTCTTCTCTCTTCTTTGATTTTCTCACCTTCTGTTATTTTTAAATTATTATCTCATCACAGGTCCTATTCGATTAAACTGTATAATTGGGGTAAAATAGTTGGTCGATGGTTTCTCTCTTTTGTATATACTTCACAATCGCTAGAATTAAATTTTCTGAGATGACTTTACCTGGGATTTCGGAGATGTTTGCATAGTTTCGGCTGGTTTCTGAATTTAGTTAACTTTTCCTTTTTCCTACTGTGGTTGTGATAACGAAAATTGAATTTATTATTTGCACATACCTAGATTTTCTGTTTTAGAGTTCCTTTTCCCATGGCAAGTTCTGTTGGATTAGTATTGTTTCAACTAGGTAAAGAAGTTGGTCTATTGTTTTTTTCCTTTCGGGTACGGCATGGAATTGACCTTGGCGAACAGAAAATTCGAAGGAGTCCAACACTAAAGGGACATATAGAACTCTTAAAAGAGTGTGCGGAGGTGGACACTTGATTTTTTATTTTGCTGTGCAAAATTAAAGGAACAAGTAGTAATTAATTTTTATTTGTACTCGGTCTCCTCTAAGTACTTTCCTGCAAAGCTAGCAACGACTAATCTATTTTGATTTGTGCTGCTTTGTTCATTTGAGTTTTATACATTATTTTTTGCTGATTAGAGTTGCGGATTAGATGACCATCTTTCTGTATTTGGTGGCTTTTTATATGTTGATGTCTCAGTTTACGCTCTTTCCTTCTTCGTATTGTGATATTTTATTCTATTTTTGTGTGGCATGAGTTACTCCAGAGATAGTCATTGTGCAGATATTCTGAATTGTTCCTTCATGAGTCTCTTGTTATTTGATGAAACAATATATTTACAAGGTCTCACATTGACTTGCAGGACGCCTGGAGTGCCGACGCTTGCGAAAAAGCACATTAATGGATCATTGACAATCAAAAAAGAATTCTCGCTCAGTAAACGAAGCTCATGATAAAAATACCAACACCGTAAAAATAACTCTTTAGCAATGATTCAGAAAGAAGAAAAGTTGTTGCAACGCCGCCTCAAATATTGACAGGCAACAACTAATCGTCTTCTCGCAAATGCAAATCATGTGAATCTTGATGGAATGATATCTCACATACAGCATGATCTTAATATTGGAATAGCTTTTCCAACTTCAGAAAGAAGTTAAAAAATCAAATATGTTATTTCTTTTCTTTGCTATATACATGCACAATGAGACCTAACTGTTGCCCAGGGTGTTCCAAATGTCATTTCCATCAGTTATTCATTTGCGTCAGTTTGTGTTTCAAAGTTTTCAATTACTTTCTTCTGTCTACAACTTCGACGCCCATGAATTTGATGATATCTGGTTTGTAGTTGAGAGAAGAAATTACTACGAGATTGATAGCGACTAAAACCACATTGATCTCTCATACTGAAATCTATTTCTGCTTCTTCCTTTCGCATTCACTGGTCTAGACAGTTCTCTAAGTCATTTTTGGTGATAATCGTTGGAAGAATAAATAGTTGTTCTGTTAGCACTAATAGACGGCTGACTCCCACACCTTGCCGTATGAACCAAAATCTTTTGTAGTAGAATAATTTGTTTTACTACTATTTTGGTTTGTTTCACCATCCAGATATTTCGATCAGCACCTATGTTTACTTTTTCACATTCAGTTTTATTATTTTCTTACAACTTTTTTCACTCTCTTGTGATGAAACAACTAAACCAACATATACATATAGATACTGATTACTCACATATTTATTCTTATTTTTTTTTTTTAAAAAAAGAATGGTCAACATGTTGCAAGTAGCCCTCAAATGTATGAATTTATCATCATATGAAAAACCAACATGGCAAATTTAAATGCAAACGTGGCTTAACAAATGATGTTAACAACACTATTAAAGGGTTATTATCATTTTTAGCCTGCACCAAAAACTATTTATATTCGGTAGCCGAAAAAGTGTATAACATTGAGCTACTTTCATTAATAGCACACTATTAAAAATATAATACAAAAAATTAGCATTAATTAATGATTAACAAATATGGCAGTAAAATATTTATACATATAGCAGATTTAATTCAATTTAAATAAGCAAGAATCAAGCTGTTTAAAAAGGCAGTCCTAGTATTTAATATATTTCCCTATTTTTTCTCTCCATTCCATACCATATTTTATATTTTTGTTAGAAACCAATCCATTCCATAATAGATTTTTTCCTTTCCATATATGGAACTTTTTATATAATGTAATGTAGCAAATTATACATCTTATATTCTAATGAAATAAAATACATATATTTTACGAAAAAATTATAATGTATGTTTATGGTGTATATACATTATAAATCATATATTTTTTTAGGAATATATATATATATATATATATATATATATATATATATATATATATATATATATATATATATATATGCATATGCATATGTTGTTTATATATGTCTTTATATTTAATTATATATCATCGATCCATTCCATAATAAATTTTTTCCTTTTTACACATGGACCTTTTTATTCAACTTACTCCTAGAAAAATTATATATCTGTATATTCCAATGAAATAAAATATATATATTTCATGAAAAAAAATATAATGTATGTTTGTGGTATATTATAAATCATGTGTTTTTTAGGAAAAATTATGTATATATACATATGTTATTTATACACTTATTTATATTTAAAGAGATATTATAAATATGCCATTTATATTTTGTACTNATTTTTCATATATTGACCATTTCACATTTAAAAAGTGCAAGTTAAAATATTTCTTCGTTATAAAAATGCTCAATCAAGAATGCAAATATTATAAAAATTTTGGGGTGTTACATTATAAATCATGTGTGTTTTTAGGAAAAATTATGTATATATACATATGTTATTTATACACTTATTTATATTTAAAGAGATATTATAAATATGCCATTTATATTTTGTACTAATATAATACGCATATTTGTACAAATTATCCGTATTTAAATAGTATATGTGACATATATTTTTTTCTTCTATATACATATTAATGGCATATTAATATTTTAGATTAAATTTTATGTAAGGTTTATGCTAGCAATATACTTTGAATAATATCAATATAATAATGTAGTATGATGTATATATAAGTTATATATGTGGTATAAAAACACACACACACACACACACACACACACACACACACACACACACACACACACATATATATATATATATATATATATATATATATATATATATATATATATATATATATATGTATATATGACATATTGATGGTATTTTTACATTGTATATTATCACAAATATAATATACTTGAAATATGTTAAATGTATATTTTTAGTTAAAATAAAATTGTACAGAAAAAAGTTTAAAACTCAAAAAAGAAAGAAATACGAAAATTCTCATTGTGTAGAGAGAATTATTTTTGAGATATTCTTCTTTCAGAATCTTTGATATATTTGGGTAGAGTGGGGGAAAAGAAAATGTAGTAAAAAATGTATTAATGTAGAGGGATTCCTTAGTTAATGGAGTTGTCAAAGTGAAGTGCTAAAAAATAAAAAAAAAAAAAAAGGTGCTATTTTAGGAATAAATAAATTCTACTATCATTTATGATAATAATTTTTGAAATGGGACCAAGCATGTAAAAATCTCTATAACTATAACGTTTGTATATAAAAGTTATTGGGCCCGGGCTTAGCCCGGGCAAACACCCACTAGTTAGTCTATACTTCCCAGTTGGATCATGCTTGGGTCGCTTTACTCGCTTATATATCCGGTCATTCCCGATTAGGATTTAGGGGAATGATAGGCCGGATCGGGTCGGCTCACCTATATGTGACTGAATTACCCGTATGTGATGTAGGGTGGGCGTTCGGGCAGTTCGAATTAAATATAAAATTTCGGTTTGGATTTTCGGTTTTCGGATTGAAGATATGACAATCCAAATCCAAACCAAATAAACTCGGATTGGATCGGATTTTTTTAAGTTCGGTTTCGGATTAATCGGGTTGAATATTTTGGATTTTCGGTTTTGAGCTTATAAGTTGATATGTTTCTTCTTTTTACAAAAATGAATATCCAAATGAATTAATCATATTAAATTTCCTGAAAAAGTTACTCATTCTCACCGCAATCATCCAAATAAAGTATTCAAGTGATGAAATTATTATCAAGAAAGTGCAACAAAGATATTAATACGGGCGATAAGAAGTAAATAGTAAAATCATGTCCAAATAGAAAGTATCCTGACAATACCTTAGCAATTAATATTGCATATATGAAATAATACCTAATGTACAGGGTGTTTAACTTATTATTATTGGCATTTAGATAATGGACTAAACATAAAGTATAAAATTTTCCCAAATCCAACCTCCAATCCGAAATCCAAAAAATTTAAAAATTTAATCCAAAATCCAATCCGTAATCCGTAAATCCAAACCAAAAATTTAAAAAATTTGGATTTCGGGTTTGCCCAAACTATGCCCACCCCTAATGTGATGTACCTCTCCCCACCATTGGGTCGGGTAAAATAGCACGGGCTAGCTAGTTTTTGGATTGATCATTTAAAAATAGCCAGCATTTGTCAGGTCATTAAAAAATAGCCACTAATTTACTGCAACAGAGACCGGTTCAGCATAATATACTGGAGTTTGGTGCACCTGTATATGAACTTCCAGCATATTATGCTGGACTCCAACACGCGGAAAGTTCCAGCATAATATACTGGAGATTGGAGCACCTGTGTATGAATTTTTAGCATATTATACTGGACCGATATATTTCAGTATACTTTATGCTGCAACTCCAGTATATTATACTGGAGTGTTTTCCGGATTTTGAACAATGTTTTCGGTCAGATTTATCTTTACATGAAAAGTGGCTAAATTTCGATTACTTTTAAAAATGTGGCTATTTTCGAATGACCACGGGTAAATTTGGCTATTTTTGAATTCCTCCCTTGGGTCGGCTCCCCCGTCTGCTTCTCATTTTTTACTTCTTCTTTTCTTCCATTTTTTGGCGGAATACATCGAGTGTCCCTTAAATTTGTCAATATATTTAAGGATTATAGGTGGACATTTCTCGAGCATACTTGTGACAGTGATGACAAGAGGAAGATAAGTCAGCAGATAGTTAATATCGGATACAAACACGTTACCGGTATTGTACGAATTCTGAGGACATAAATATCAAAAAAGTGAATTTGAAAGTAAGGTAACAGTTAGAGAAAGCAACATTAAAGGAGCAGACGTTACTAAAAATCTCAACATTTTCATCTTTAAGAGGGCGAGATTTGACGATATTGTCTCCTCATATTTAACTATAAATAGTAGATTATACTCATTAGAAGGACACGAAAGACAAGAATTACAAAGCCTATCTCTCTTTCTCTCATTTTTCTTAGTTTTATACACAAAAGGCTAATGTTGAAGCCTTCCATGAGGAACATAAAGGAAGCAAGGTTCCCGAAACTAATTCGGTCAGACCCAATCAAAGAGATCCTAGTTTGTGGTGTGAATTTCATGGTACACAGGATCATCGAACAGGGGACTACATGCACGTTCGTGACGAGGTAGCTATGTTGCTAAGAAACGTCATCTTAAGGAATTCTTGAGTGGCCGGACTATGAATAATTATGGCAAAGGCCGTGATGCAACGGAACTGGTGAAACCAACAGGGTCTCCTCGTCTCACTATAAATATGATTTTTCGGAGGAGTTGAAGTGAATGGTGTGATATTTTTGGCGGCAAGGAAAACAAAAATATCGGTCACTCATGGAAAGAGGAACCAGGGCGTACCAAAGGATAATGAAATTACTTTTAATGACGAAGATGCAGACGGACTTACTTTACCACATAATGTTGCTCTGTTAATCTTTAAATGTTTAAGATTTAAAAATAAAACGTGTGTTGATTGATCCAAGTAGTTCGGCCTATATCATTCAATTAAGAGTCCTAGAGCAATCGAAGCTGACCGGCCGCATAGTTCCGACAATAAAGCTTTTGGCTGGATTCTATTTAACAAGCGTGACAACTCGAGGAGAGATCATGTTGCCTACGTACGCCGAGGAAGTGATAAAATCAACATTATTTGAAGTTGTGGACGAAGATATAGGGTACAATATGATTCTCGGTATGCCATGGATTCACGGTATGAAAGTTGTTCCATCAACTTACCACCATTTGTTAAAATTTTCAATATCGGACGGAGTCAAGCAGAATAGCGGTGACCAGCTCGCTTCTAAGGAAGTAAATGCAGTTACTTTGTCTAACAGCAAGGCAGAGGAAATCAATAAATAACAATTATAGATGGTGTTAACTCTCAATTTAATTCTGGTCGCAACACCGGGGAAAGACAATGTTGAGGAGGGGACACCAGATATATACAAGGTACCCATATCT